AAGGGAGGATGGGGTGGTTGATGTTGGAGGTTGTGGGGGTAGAGGTGTTGAAGTTGGGGATGCTGGGAGAGTGGAAATGTTCCTTGAGGGTTGATTGTTGGCTACTGTACTAGTAGGCATTGGTGAAGGGGCAGTTATTGCAGTGTTCGGAGCCGTGGTCAAAGGAGAGCCTGGGGTCGGGGAATCAGGTGGGTTTACTTCTTTGGGGCTATTTGATAAAGGGGCAAGCCTCATTGCCCCTAACAGTGGGGATATATTTTCATTACTGGCCATGGTAAGCCTGGTTATGCTGGGGATAAAAACAGTCCACCCCTCAGGGTCCCCTTGAGGGGTAAGGGCTAGATACTAAATCAGGGGAATACCGTGCCCATGGCTCCCTCAGGCCGTTCAGGACTGGCACAAAGTCAGCCTTTCATCCTTTCAGCACGGCTCTCACACCTTAGGAGGTGGATAGCAGAAGGGTTTGGTGAAGGGACAGAAACAAAAGTGGGAAGGGGAAAAAAGACCATGCATAATTAGTTGGGTCGAGGGCTGAGTCCCAAGGTTGGGGAGTTCCCCATCATTGGGTCCCAGTCTCCGCCTCCTAAGCCCCCCCACGACAACAACGGGCAAGGGATTGGGGGGGAAACTGGCAGGAAGAGAGGAATAATGTGGTATTCACATGCCTCTTATTGCTAATGAGTGGAAGGGTTAATGAGGATAGTGCAGATGGAAAGAGAGGGGATGGGGTGTGTTGGGAAAGAATGGGAGGGAGAGGGGGAATATGAGGAGATTGGATGTCGGCAGTTACTTTGAATGTAGAGGGAATGGGAGTAGAGAGATTGGAGGGTGGGTGTGATTGTAGCGTTCTCTTGAGTCATGTTTCGGAAGTTTTGGATTTTCTCAGACGTTTCTGGAGGGGAGTTGGATGTAGAGTTCTAGGAATCAAAGTTTTTTTTTCTTATGAGGAAGAGGAAGAGGTGCGTGTAGAAAAATGGAGTGGAACGTTTAGGTTGACTGGTGCGACAGGTAAAGTGAGGAGGAGGGGTTGGCTCCGGGGAAGTGGCAGACCTTTCGTTTTGACAGTCTGACCAATCTTTCAGGTAAACAGGGCAATCAACCGGGGATATAGACGCAGTTCTGGACAAATATTAAGGGAGGAGTGAGGCTGGGCAGGAATAGGTTTACCAGTGACTCAGCGGAGATAATGGATGGAAACTTTGCCTGTTTGTTTTTGGAGACATTTTTGGGCGAAGAGGGTTTTATCAGAGTAAGGGGCTGTAGGGGAATCACAAAGAATCAGCCAAAATTAGTGCTCAGAAGATTTGTAGAGGTGGAATCATTAGAGGGACGAGAGTGGAAGGAAGAGCGAGTGGTGCGGGGTCAGGTTAATGGTTACAAAGCAAAATAAATGTGCTAGACACCATAAGTGAAAGTCAAAGGGTAAACAGAGGGTTAGTTGTTGGTTATATGTGCTATACGCCAGAAGTCATATAGCAGTTCAGGAAGGTAGGAACTAAAGGGCGAATTGATCAAAGCTGGTATAGGAAGAAGTGTGGGATTTTGCAAGGATGTCTGTAGAATATGAAAGGGATTAGCAAAGGAAAAAGGGGTGTAAGGGCGATTAAATCAGTTTCCGGAAAAATAACAGGAGGGAGAGAATCCAGGAAAGGGGGCTGTTGTGACAAAGGGTCACATTTGTGCACTATGGAAACTTGTAATAGTGAAATGGGGGAAAAAGGGGGGGTTAGTTGATGAATATATGTGCTACACGTCAGAAATCGTATTGCAGTCCAGGAAGGTAGGAATTAAAGGGCGAATTGATCAAAGCTGATATAGGAAAGTGTCTGGGATTTTGCACTCATGTCCGCAGGGGGAAGGTTTGGGAATAGCAAAGGAGAAAGGGATATAAGGGCAATTAGATCCGTTTCAGTGAAAACATCAGGAGGGATGGAGTTTAGGGAAGGGGGTTGCTGTGCCAAAGGAGTAAGCGGGAATGACAGAAGGTTAGGAGGGAGGAATGGGATGTGTTGGGAGTGAGAGGGAGGGGTGTGGGGCATACATGAGTAGGAGGAGGATGGATGTCGGCAGTTACTTGGAGTGTAGAAGGAATGGTAGTAGAGAGATTGGAGGATGGTTGAGGTATAGACATTATATCTTGAGTCATGATTAGATAGTTTTGAATGATTTCGAAAGTTTTTGCAGTGGAGCTGTTTGGGGAGGTTTGAGAAACAGAGGTTTCTTATGGGGGGGGGAGGAGAGGGGAGAGATGTTTGAGGGGTGGAGGAAGAAGTTTATGGAGGGGATGGGGTAGAAAATGGGATGGAGCGTTAAGCTTGTCTCGTGCGATGAGTTGGGTGAGGAGGGAGAGGGTTAAGTATCGGGGAAGTAATGATCGGAGTGTCTGGAATAGTGGAGATTGGGGTGTCTGGATTTAGAATGGCAAATGAATTTGACTTGGAGAGGGAGGGTGTAGAAGTGGGGTAAGGAAGAAATGCTGTGGGAGATGTAGAAACCTCTTAGGAGGAAAGGGGAAGGGTAGAACGATTATTAGAGTAGAGAGTGATAGAGGAACCTAGCCGACGAATTTTCTAATGAAGGAGTTATACTCTAGTTGATCTATGAGGGATAACGGTTGTAGTACGTGTTGGAAAATTTGAAGGGGAAGGAGCTAGAGAGTGGGACAAGGAATCAGGTGGGGTGTTAGGAAGTGGAGGGTCTGGGGAAGGGGATAGTTGTGACATAAGGGATTCACGTGTGTATCCAGGAGGGAGTGGAAGGGATAGAGGGGATGGCGGGAGGGTTAATGTAGGTGGGGCTGGAGTCTGGGGGGATGGGCTGTGTTGGGAGGGTGTAGGGGGAATATGAGTAGGAGAAGGATGGATATCGGCAGTCATTTTGAGTGTGGAGGGAGCAGGAGTTGTGGAATTTGAAGGTGGATGAGGGGTTTCAGTGTCAGTTTGGGACTCGAGTAGATAGTTTTGAAAATCTTCGAGTTTCTGCAATGGAGTTGGTTGGGGAGTTTTGTGAGACAAAGGTTTTCTTGTGAGGGGGGGGGGGGGAGAAGACTGGTGTCTGAAGTGTAGGGGCAAAGGAAGGTGGAGGTGATTGTGTGGTAGGGGAAGAGGGGGTGGAACGTTTAGTCTGTCTGCTGCGGGTAGTGCGGGGAGGGAGAAGGGAAGGTGTTGGGGCTGTAGTAGTGATTGGAGTGTCTGGATTTAGGATGGCAAAAGTATTTGACAGAGGAAGGTAGGAGGTAGAAGAGGGGAAGTTAGATGGAGGAGGGATAGGTTTAGGGGAGGGTGAGCAACATTACTGGAATAGGGAGTAAGAGAAAAACCTCCTCGACGTACTTCCTGTCGGGCCTCACGTAAAATGAGTCCAAGTCTGTATCTGAGAGTTGCTACCTCAGATTCAATCTTGTAGGTGGGGCAGCCCCTATAAAATACATTATGGGGACTGCCACAGTTAGCAATTTGATTGAGTATGGCCAGGTTGGGCACATAGCAGGCATCTGGCTGCGGAACGGTGATGTTTGGCACGATGTCCTAAACGCCAACAATTTTAGCACTGGCGAGGAGGAGGTTGATATGGTCAGACAGGGAGGGATTCTCCGCCGGTGTAAACATTAAAGGGAAGGTCGTGTCTACCGAAAGTAATTTTGGCAATGTTAGTGGGGTTTTTACGATGACCTCTGGGAGCAATGGAGTAGCATTGCACTGATATCGCATCATAATCCATGAGACAGGCAAGTAAGTCTTCTCCTTCGGCTACGGAAAGAGACTTTACCTACTTGTTTTTGGAGACATTGCTGGAAGAGAAGGGTTTTGTCAGAGTAGGGAGTTGTGGGAGTGATCACAGTCCCATTTGGCTGGGCTAAATAGAGTATTTAAGATTTTTGTAGAGATGGGGGTAGTAGAAGGAAGTGGAAGAGGGAGTAGTGTTGAGGGAGGTAGTGTTATGGAGAGGTGGGCAATAATGTTGTAAAGTAGTAATAAGGGAGGATGGGGTAGTTGATGAAGAAGGTTGTGGGGGTAGAGGTGTTGAAGTTCAACATGTTGGGAGAGTAGAAATGTCTCCTAGTGGCATTGAGGAGGGGGTAGTTGTTGTAGTGTTTAGAGCCGTGGTCAAAGGAGAGTCTGGGGTTAGGGAATCAGAAGAGTTTGAATTGGTGGGGGCTATTTGATGAAGAGGCAAGCCTCATTGCCCCTAATAGTAGAATTACATCTTCATTATTGGCCATGGTAAGTCTGGAGTATGTTGGGGGGAGAAATGGTCCACCCCTCAGGGTCCCCTTGACGGGTAAGGGCTAGGTAACTAAAGCAGGGGAATACCGTGCCCATGGCTCCCTCAGGCCGTTCAGGACTGGCACAAAGTCAGCCATCATTGGGTCCCAGTCTCCGCCTCCTAAGCCCCTCCAAGACAACAACGGGCAAGGGATTGGCGGGGAGAAGAAAGACCGTTCAAAATTAGTTGAGTCAAGGGCTGAATCTTAAGGTTGGGGAATCCCCACAACAACAGGCATGTAATTGGGGTTGGCAATAATAATAATGATGATGATGATAATAATAATAATAATAATGATAATAATAATAATAATAATAATATTATCATCATTAATAATTAATGATAATAATTTATTTTTATCTATATTTTTATTTTCATTTTTATTTTTATTATTATTTATAATTAATAATAATAATAATAATAATAATAATAATAAATAATCATTAATAACAAATAATCAATAATATTTAATATTAATGAATAATGGTAATAAATAATAACACCAACAACAATAATAGTAAAAATAGTAAATATTAATTATAATAACAATAACCACTGATTATAATTATGATTATAATTATAATAATTATAATAATAATAATAATAATAATAATAATAATAATAATAAATAACACCACCAATAACATCACTCGCAATAAAAATAGTAATAGCAAAAAAACAGAAATAGTAATTAGATTATCTTGCAGTTGATTAAGGTTAATGAAACAAAGAGAAAACGTACCTCTCACTTTTGGTATTCAATTGAGAATTAGATATCTAGAAAAATAGCAGCAGTTTTACAAGTTCATTGTATTAATCTCCTTTTTTTTTTATATATATAACCTTTTTTTTCTCCTTTTTCTTTTTTTGATTTTTTTTTTTTTTTAAGTTTGTTTTTGTTTTTGTTTTTTGATAAAGCCTGTGAAAATCCTAAGGCTAAACAATCAACAATGTTACAGCATTTCACAAGTCTAAAGAGGAGGGGGGGAGACAAGGGGGGTGAGGGTAAAGGGAAAGGAGAGAGGGTGGGGGTGGGGGTGGGGGAGTCACAGATCTGTTGGTCTTACAATGTCTTTTTTTTTTTCCCTTATATATTCCATTTTCTCTATCGTTAAAGACGAACCCAAGCCCTCAATATCTCAGGCGACTGTGCAGAACCATTGGTGCCTTAACACTACAGTCCCCTCGGATATTAAGGCTTTGGAAGTACAAAGTCACATAACAAGAGATGATAACATACTTGTTAACATTTAACATCGGTCTTGTGTCCTCACCCAAAATATTGAGATAGAGAATGCATATTTATACACACGTACGAAAAAAAAAAAAAAAAAAAATAGAGTATGTACATATACAAATATTATTTGTAATAAAAAAAATAATTACAGTAAAAATAATAACAATAATGATAGTCAATACATTCCCCTCCTCCATATCTATAACATACAATAATGAAAAAATGAAAAAAAAAAAAAAAAAAAAAAAAAAAAAAAAAATACATGAGAATAAAAGATAAATCACATTCATTCGTTCTTTGTATAGAGTTAAGCAGTCTGAAATATTTTGAATAACAGCAATGTTAACTTTTACTCATTCTACATCTTGTACCAGTGTCTTCTTTAAGTAGTTACAAAAAAGAAAAAAATTATTTTACCACAAAATAATCTCAAACTCACACACAAGAAATCAATAAGGAAACAAAGGCATTCAACTCTGGACAACTATGATTAACAAACACACATCCAAATCTTCTTTTTTTAAGTGTCACTCCATACTGCATGAATTTATCTAAAAAATTTGGGTTATGTGAAGGCAAGTTATAATTACAGCCTTCAACTTTAATGAAAGAATAAAAAAAAAAAAAAAAAAATATTAAAGTGAAAAAAAATTGGGTAAAGGAATTCTTGAAATCCACATTTTCTGACATTAAAAATGACATACACTATAAGTAAATAATAATGATAATAATTAATAAAAAAAAAAAACTACTGGCTCATTTTCAAATGCATTATACATAGTTATCATTACAAAGCTTTAGCATTTGAAGAGGCTAAATGCTATATAAAACATTAAATGACACAAGTGATAAAACTTACCAAAACTTGTTTTTTCTCAACTTTTTTATACGAAAAGATGCACGTCTGATCTACTACATCAACCTAAAGTACAAGCAATTGAATATTCACATGTTTATTGATCTGCTCTTTTCTCTAAAGGTATATAAAAAAATTTAAAGACTACACCACCTGTAAAAATTGGCTTAACCTAAAGTTCACATGTCCCAACAGTCGCATAACACTGACTTTCTTTCCCATCAAGCAAATACTTCTTAGTACAAAAGTACAATGCTTGCCTTTTCTTGCCAGAGAACAAAGTATACAAAGTATTCCTGGGAAAATGGTTTCTTCATGTCACTTCCATATATCCCCCCAAAAAAAACAGCAATACTCTCTTCGTGTTTCATTCGTGATAGAAGGGCAACAAGAGACAAGGTCACCGCAGACGTTCCCTTAGTTCCTCATCTGCACGGGGTGTACCCTGAATCCTGTGGTCATTAGAAAATAGTTGTAAACTTTTAAACATGTTTACTGCCTTGAGTTATGACTAACATGAACTCTTGCCAGGGAAGTTCAGCTAACCCTAAACACCTCATACGTGCCCAATTCTGGAATATGAAACATATCTGTGTCGCTTGATAGAGCCACTTGCTTCAAGTCTGTCAATTGGTAAATCTTTTTAACTAAATTGCTTTTTATTACAGTCTATGCTAATGATATGAATCTCTGATCACAGAGCAGTACAGCTACAGATGAAACAATGAATAGCTATCTAATGGGTTCAACTCCCAACACTAACAAAAGTTCATAGAACCAACAAAGATCAGTGACGATTTAAAGAAAGAGAGAAATCGAATCCTACACACAAAGAGTCTTATACTGTAGCTACCAAGACATCACATAAAATGTCTTCGGAGAGACTTTGCTCCTTATTCCAGAACTACACGAGGCACTTTCCCGTTGAATTTAAAGCTAGATCACCTTGCTATAGGATACTCATGAAAATGGCAGCATATCAGTGTGTGAATATATACAAAGATATATATATATATACCACACACAGCCTAAGTATTTGTGCATGAGTGTTGTGTTGTCACAGTGCAATTTTTTTTTTTTTTTGTGTGGCATGGCACAGCAACTATGTCATATTAACTGGATTAATAACTTTGGCTTCTAATGGATAAAATACTAATTGACTGGATTTGTCAGTAGCATAATTCAGGAAGAGACAAGCTTGATGACATCAACTACAAATGGAAAAAACTCTCATCAAACTTTTAAAAACTTGAACAACAATTTCTTAAAAACTACATTTCTTAAAATTTGCATTGATAGGTGTGTACTCTGTATCAATCAGTAGAAATCTGTGATAATACTAGAGTAGCAGTGTTTATTTCTGGTAATGCTAGAAGTCTCTATACAAAGTGTACATTCTGCAGCACTTACTTGTAATACAAAGTTTAAACCTTGAGCTCATTGGATTCGCATGTTGCCTTTGCTGTCTAACGACAAGCAACGTCATCCCCCTGATACTGAACTCGCGTCAGATTCTTCCAGCCTCAAAACAGCAGCACAAGAGGTTTTTATGGAATACTGTTACTGTGATTTTGAGAATTAATGGCAAAAAGAAACACCTTTTTAGTCACCAGGTTCACACATTACTGTCTGAGTCATCAAATCAGAAGGGTATATTAAGAAATAAATCCTTGTTGTGAAGAGCAAAGCTTTGCATTATGTCTGAATTGAATACTCATCTTTTTCAATACAAATCTGTAGAGGTAGACAGTTTCTAAATCAAGTTGATATAAAGTTCAGATACAAACATTTGCCTCAGTTTTACGCCCAGTGACCAAAACCTTTTCCCTGCATATGCTTTCAAGAATAAAAGAAGCTCACCCTTTTGCCTCCACCTTCCCCTTCAAGTTCCAACAAAAGAGCCTCTTTCCTTCTGCCAAAAATATTTCCTCACCCATAACCCACCCGACCTTTAGGCAACAATCCATTTAACAATCCCCTTGAATGTTTATTTCGCGCCTGCAGTCCTTAAGTACGTAAAAGATGTAAGCTCCCGTCACACAACCACCTCACGTAAATTTTCAGACAGGTAGCCTCCACTTCCGGGCCTTGGAAATGAACGATGGCACAAATATTTATCACATGAGCGTATTAACCCCCCCAACTCTTCAATTTGCTATTTTTAAAAAATTCCTAATTAAACTAATGACACTATGCATTAGATTCCATTTATAATTATAAAGGTAGAATACATTGCCTTCCACTAATCATTACCTTATTAATTGGCCTATGAGAAGATGACAACATCGAATGGCTAAAATCCTAAGTACTTGTCATTAACTGCACTGTCAAAAAAAAAAAAAAATAAAGGATAAAAAAAATAAATAACACATATACAAATAAAATAAATACATAGACAAAAAACAATGATAAACAGATAAATAAATGAAACAAACTGGGTTTCTGCTAATCGTTTGAACTTGCAACAGAAGCATGTCTAAGTATAACCCAATACTAAACTTGGCACATGAAAAAAGAATGAATGAATGGAGGAAAATGAGGAGAGAAAAGCAAAAATGAAATAAACGAGAGGCGGGGGGGAAAAAAAGGAAAAAGAAAGAAAGAAAAAAAGGGAAAGAAGGAAGAAAAAAAAAAAGGGAAATAAAAAAGGCGGGGGGGAAAAAAAGGAAAAAGAAAGAAAGAAAAAAAGGGAAAGAAGGAAGAAAAAAAAAGGGAAATAAAAAAAACACAGGGAAAAAAAAATAATAATAATAATAAAGCAGAAAAATACATAAAAGGAAATCCTAACAACGCAGCAAGAAGTGGAGACCCGAAACACAAATGAGAAAGGAGGATGAATGACACCTACAAATGGCCAATGAGTAAAAAGAGAGAGCAATTTCGCACAATGAAAAGACTCGTAGGATTGTTATGTCTTCCCCTACGGCAACTCTGTCACTGTGTCATTTCCTTTCCTTAGTTATTCTTTCTTTCCATTTATTGTGATGGGATGCAATACACATAATAAAAGAAAAGAGAAAAAAAGAAAAAAAAAAAAAAATCCCTGCCTTAGCCCTCAGTGAATCTCCACAGAACAGTTCATTTCCCATAAAAATGTGGCACTATTTTCATGATCATAAGTCCATATATAAATTCCCAAACATTCACTCATACAGTCCATATACTTCTATGAAATAGATATAAAGCATGTAACTACCCTGATGATAATATAAGTAATAATAATAACAATAAAAAAATAAATAAAAATAAAAATAATAATAACAATAATAATATTAATGGTAACCTAACAATAATGACAAAACCATATAACATCAGTCCTTGCATAACAACTATCAATACACTGCAAGGTACACTCCATTTATATGCAACAGTACATTATCCAAAAAAGTTGTATATTCTCTCTTATACAGGCAACCTTCACAATAATTAATTAAAAACATTTCCTATCAGAGCCCCTTTCCCACTGCTGTTTCACCTCTTTATTATCTTAGCCTAAAAATCCTATGTCACCGAGTAAAAAATAAATATTTTTCCAATTCAACACATCTAACATCAAATCTAGGGATTCGGCATAAAGTATACATGAATTAAATATCATTTGCCTACACACAAGAAAAGGAATGTTCAGACAAAAAAAAAAAAAAAAAAAAAAAAGGCCAAAAAGAAAATACAAGAATAAAAAATACATAGTCATGCACACACCAACAACGCATCTGGGAGGAAAGCTACGAATGGGAAAATTTTAAGAAATATATTCTATGCATTATCTGATTTTATAGTGAAAATCATGAACGCTTTTGCCAAGGAGCAACACTCAGAATAAATCATAAAAAGATATGCATTTGAAAATAATCTCATCATAATCCATGTTCTTATTTCCCTCTATCAATCATCAATAACACAGGAACTAAACTGCTAACGGAAACGTTAAATGTCAAATTCTACATATTCTATTTTCATTCATATAGGTATAACTACGTATCAACAATCTGTATATCACAAAAGAATATATAATTTCATTTTCTCTCTCTCTCTCTCTCTCTCTCTCTCTCTCTCTCTCTCTCTCTCTCTCTCTCTCTCTCTCTCTCTCTCTCTCTCTCTCTCTCTCTCTCTCTCTCTCTCTTTTTTCATATACAGACAAACATCATGTGAGTAATGGCATTCATGAGCAAATCCAAAGACAAATAAAACTCCTGAATTGCTTTTGTTCTTTCCAATTCAAGAAAGAAAAAGGGGAAAAAATTAAGCATTAATAATAATAATAATAATAATAATAATAATAACAACAACAATAACTATGACAATAATAATAATAGTAATAATAATAATTATTATCATGTTAACATATTAATAAAAATAATAATAATAAAGATAGTAGCTAATATAACTTCCAAAATGAACTACAAATTATCTATATCTATATACTATTGAGCTTATATCCCACAACAAGTGTTTCATCTATGACCAGGGGGAAAAAAATCTAATCAATCAATCCACAAGACTCCCATAATTGATCAAGACCAGAAAATTCCTACCACAAGTCCACATGAAAAAAAAATAAGATATCGAACTTTATTTTCTTTTCCCATTACACTCTCCATTCACATTCAGTCTCTCCCTGTTTCTCTGTCTGTACGTCTCTATATTCAGCAAAATGAGCCAGCCTTGTGTCTCCATCCATCAATTTTTTTTCTTCTATTCACCACATCTAAAATCAATGTACTTGTCATCTGTTTCTCACGAAATCACACACCAACTTAGTCTTCCTCTAACTGTTTTGATCTTTCAGTTTCTTTCTGTTGAATCAAACCAATGTCTTTCTTTATCAAAATTTCTACCATCTTCGTCTCTTTCTCTATGTCTGTGCTGATCCGTACGTCCCAGGAGGAGGCTGGTACTGGCGGGGGAACATCTTAAGCTGTACTGTCGAGAAGGCGTACTTGCGTGCCCCAATGTTCTTCTGGCAGTTCTCCAGCCGTGTCCCCTCACTGCAATGGAGAGCATGAGAGGGATTAAGAATAGGGAGCAAAACAAGAGTGACGGAAAAAAAGACTCTCATAAGGGAAAATAGGGAGCAAAACAAGAGTGATGGAAAAAAGTGGCTAGTGGGGGGAAACACAAAGAATGGGATGATAAGAAAATACAAGAGAATGTGGGAGAAGGGAAGAGACTGAGAAAATGATGCAAGGGAAGGAGGAGGAGGAGGAGGAGGAGGAGGAGGAGGAGGAGGAGGAGGAGGAGGAGAAGGAGAAGAAGAAGAAGAAGAAGAAGGAGAAGAAGAAGAAGAAGAAGAAGAAGAAGGAAGAGGAGGATGAGGATGAGGAGGAGGAGGAGGAGGAGGAGGAGGAGGAGGAGGAGAGGGGAAAGGGGAGGAGGACAGGGAGAAGGAGAGGAGGAGAGGAGGAAGGAGCAGGGACAGGAAGACAAGGAAGAAAAAAAACAGAAGGAGGAGGAGAAAACGGAATATAAAAACAGTAAAGGGAGAAGAGTGGATGAAAGTGATAAAGCAGATGGAAGTAGGGGAGGAGGAAAAAATCAGCAAAGCACCACCAAAATATGAAAAGGATGAAAAGAAAGATCTTATTCAAATGCCCAGATTACCTCCTCATACAGTTGAGCGCTCTCTGGAACTCCGTCTCGGACAAATCATACTCTGCTGCCAGAATGTTTGCTTGCTCGAGAGTCACACTCATTCCCGTGCGGTCCTTTCCGCTCTTGCATGAGGTAAAACGAAGCCCTGCCAGGAAGAAAGGATGTTGAAGATAATTCTGAAGATCATACAAATGTAAATAAATACAAATGATATAAATACAAGATCCATCTTGGATATGTGGTACTACAGCTGGACATTAATGAAAGCCTTATACTGAAATAAATACAATGATAGGTACTTCTGCATCTTCAACACTTCTATAATATCCACAACTCACTATTCCAAGTCATCAACTTCAATAATAAAAAATATATACCCTTTAAAGAATGGTAATTGAAGACAAGTCAGATCTTTTCCCTACCCTAAAAGAAAATCCCCAGACATACCTGCCATGGCTCTACAGCACTGTGCCGCTAAGACTAGTACATTAGGGTTTTTGCTGTGCTGCGACTGCACTTCCAAGCCCAGTTTATCTATGAGGTCCACGAGGGGCACATCACTGCCCATCGAGGGAACTCCTGAAATGATCATCGCAAAATTAATGTCAACATTCATCTCCAAAGAAACAGGATCGTTGGTGCTTAAAGAAATAATGATAAATTAATGAATAATGCATATACATTTCATTTTTTGTTCTTTCCCTTACCTTTTTCTTTTTCTTTTTCTTTTTTTTTTGAATCAAAAGAAATTTAATATATATTTTGGAGTTACCTGTGAACTTTTTATGAGCACAGTATGATATATAATGGCAAACTTTCACAATTAATACAATATTCAAGTACAGGGAAAATGAATGTGAAGAGAAGCCATTAAAAGGATAATTTCATCCTACTCTATAATCTAACTCACTTCTACTGTTCTCCTGTGGTAGTGGAAGCTTCTTGAAACGGTGATAGTACTGTGACAGCCGTTCAAAGCTGTCCTGGTTGTTCCTGGTCTGAGGGCCATCTGTGCCTAATTTCTCTGCCAACGTGGCCTGTAAATAATCAGATCGTAAGGTCCTCTCCTTCCTTTTTTTTTCCACAGCCAAAATTTACATAAAGAGTAAAACAGCTGTAAATCTCCTTTGCTCATGACATTGTGGCCAGTGTAGCTTGGACAAAATGATAGAGCATAAACAATCATACTAACATGGATCATATGCCAATGTTTCCAGTGCAAACTTATTCTAAGGTGTTCTTTGCATGTACCTATTTCTTTCTTATATATATAAATACTGTTCTTTTCAGCTTTCATATCATCAAGCAGTAAAAATACACAGCTACAATGTCACATCAGAAGGAAACAACAGTGCATTAAGAGCAAGCAATATCAAATATATAGAGAGAGGAACCACTTTACAATACTGTGAGAATACTCATCTACAACCTCATTCTGCCTTGTACATCCCATTCTGCCTGTGATGTCAACAACAAGCTCCAATCATTGATTATACTACTTACAGGAAAAATGTACAAAGCAAAATGAAAATGTGTCTTAAATCACCATCACTGAACCAAATAATTCCCTCAGTGCTTCATACAATGAAAATACACATTGCTTTGCAATACGAATTTGTGCGATGGTTTCACAAAAAGTGGCATGATCTCGCAGGAAATCATACTGCATAAGGAAACACACTCTTGTTAACTGAGTTGTCATTTTTCATACCAATCTTTTGCTGTCATTGAAAGCACCTTGAATTCCAGAAGCTAAAGAGTTACGCAGTTTACTTGTAATCTGAAAAATAAATCCATAGTCCATTCAGTCATATGACTAAAGTCATATAATCAAGTCATGAGTTCATAGCATAGCAATACTGTCTGGTGTAAGGAAGGCCCATCAACTGCTCCTGATGGTCAAAACATACCCTAGTTAAAAGCAAACAGAACTTCAAAAAATGAATCTGGGAATGTCTCAAATCAATTATGAAGTTCTTTCTCAAAACCTGAGGATAACCTAACCCTTGTGATCGCTGCACAGTTATAACCATTATGCATTAAGCATTACACACACCAACTGTCCAGGGATTGACAAAGGGGTTTCTTCAAATGTCAAAAATAAACAATTTTCCTCACTAAATTGTACACCGAGTTCATACTGGATACTTATTCTTAACATTCTGAACATGATCATTCTTTACATGAGAGTTAATATAATTAATTGTAATGTAATAATATAATTAATTTCTTTACAGTACTGAAAGTAATTTCCATTTCAGTGTTAGAAGGGAACTGAAAAAAAAAAAAAATCATTACTTCTTTGCAATAATGAGACATAACCCACACTATTGAATTAATTAACTTTTTCACTGAGCATCAAACCACCATTCCCCACACAGTTACCATTGTTATTACTCACCTTATCAATATCAACTTCAAAAAGAAAAAAAGAGAAAAGGGAAAAAAAAACATTGCAACCATCACTTGTACCGATCTCAAAGACCAAAACCCCTCAAGCAATAAAATCCCTTTGAATAAAAGAACGAAACCTCCCAGCCACTTGACACAAAAAACGGAACCGCAATGACATTCCTTCTTTCCTCCCTCGATTGCTCCTCAGTCGGTATTCCTCACCTTCTCGTTAATACCAATGTTGAAGAGTACAGGCGTGACACAGAAAGTTGGGGGGTCGTTGGGTTGCTGGGAGTTGGTCGTTGGCATGAGGCTCAGCACGTGCTCGGGGACAGGGAGCACGACTCGGAGCCCACACCTGGGGATCAAGAGAAGGGGGAGGCTGTAAGAAGTGTTACATGGTGCTTACACATGTTAGAGGATAGAAAAGAGAGGGAAGTTGAAGAAGAGGAAGAAAAGAGAGAGAGAGAGAGAGAAAGAGAGATAGAGAGAGAGAGAGAGAGAGAGAGAGAGAGAGAGAGAGAGAGAGAGAGAGAGAGAGAGAGAGAGAGAGAGAGAGAGAAAACAATAAAGAGCATAACTGATTATAAAAAAAACAAATTCGTGCTCACCTGTTTCCTGAGATGCAAGGCGTTGGCAGCTCATACGTGGCGGGGGGAGGCGCTGCCCCTTCACTTCGAGTGCGTCCGTTGCTGCCCTGAGCGCCCCCTGACGGGACCATCACAAACTCCACAGCGCCAATATCCTCCACTGCCACCACCATGTCACTAAGCATTACCAAGTCATTCCTGTAACATTACAGAGGGATTTCAGATATTGACTGCTAGGAACAGAAGTGCTCTATATATCATAAAGGTAAGTGGCACTAACTAGAATTTTTTTCAAAGTGTTAATGTCATAAAGTTTTATTTGTCAAATGTTAGTTAATGGATATGCTTTTCACTTTACAATGTTTTTTCATGCAGACATCAAATAAATTTTTCAAAATGATGGATGTATATGATATCAGAAGCATTACTTTTGTACAATATTGCATAATTGATCAAAACCGCTGTAACACAAGATAAAGTAATAAAGAGTTTTATAAGAAAAATCTAAAAATAAGACCATTATTTTGCCTTCAATGCTTATTCCCTTTGTTCCCTGCCCCAAACCACAAAGGGTTCGAGTATAGGGGAAAAAATGCCTCCCCCACACCTACCCATGGCAAGACACGAGGCACTCAAACTCTGCGAGCGGCCCAAGGTGAGCGAGGACAGTGATGAAAAGTGGATCGGCCTTTCTGCACCACAGCCTTGTCATCAACCCCGTCACTAGAGAAGTCAACTGAAAAGAAGATGTCCTTTTTTTTAAAGAAGAAGCAATGGCACCTTAATTATGTTTCTTGCTTTCTCATATTATGTAGTAAAATGATTCATTGTTATCTCAGGTACAATGATCTGATACTTAAATTCCATGTAAGCTGCTTCATGTAATCCAAGATGCACTTACACATACACAAACAAGAGTAAAATAAAAAAAAATACCTACGAGATCTAAATGAGAAAAAAGATTAGGGAGCAACTGACCGCTTGCGAGAAGCAGATGTCTCTTCTGTATTTGATCATGTGTGCTTGCTGAGCCGCCTCTGGGGTCTGCTGCAAACGGAATACACTGTGAACCAGGCGTGCTGTGCGCATCAGGCCGTCCATTGCCTGCCGGAGTTTCTTCATGCTAGGCCGTACCTCTCCCACCCAGTCGACAGCCTCTTGATTGTCTGTGTCATTCTCTTTGGTGTGATTGCCATTTGTGGTGATGATTACTGGGGCCTGTTTGCTCTCCTCCCTGCTTCCCGTTCTCCCAGTGTTATGTACATTTTGTTTGTTTACATCAAGTGTATCTTTTGTGCCAGCATTCTCTATATGTTCCGAGATTCCGGCACTTGGCTTGTCCCCTGATTGTCCTTCATTTGTACTAGCCTCCTTCTCCTTGCTCTCCCCTTTGATCTCCACATCTCCAGAAGAACCCAGGTCCTCCAGACTCTGTTCCATGATTGACTCCAACTTCCCAGATTTCACACTAGTGATATCACACGAGTACCGTGACTCAATATTCTGACTGGCCTCATCTCTCTCTGGCCGCCGGACCTCAATTTTGTCCAAGGGCAGGAGATCCTCCCGCCGGTCTTCCTCCACTGAAAGACCACCTTCACTAATGCAGTCTGTCCTCTCCACTTCACTCGTCACACGCTCCAGCCCAATGCCACTGTCCTCCTCACATGGTGACACATCTGGTGTCGCTGAGCAGGAGGAGCGCTGGCTCTCATTTGTCCTGGAGGCACCAACACTTGAAGACCTCCCTGATGCCTGGCTAGAGTCTGACCCAACTGACGATGAAATGACAGCCTGGCTCTGGGCAGTCGATTGTGGGTTTGAGCTGATGTTCTGTGATTCACTTACTTTGAGTCGGCTCTTGCTCGGACTGGATTTCTCAGAAGGTGTGTTATTTGCTCCAGCCTCCTTCTGCTTCACCTCACTGTCCCTGCCTTGCCCCACCTGCTGCCCATCACCCCCATCCTGACACAAGTCCTTCGGACCACTAGCAGTCGCCTTCCGCCCACAGAAACTCTTGATCTTGCTGGTTAGGCACATCACGCTTGCTTGTACATTCAACTGGATCAGGTCCCATGGCTCTGGCTCATCGGTGGGCCTGTACACACTATTCTCGTGGCTGTCCATGATGTCCACCTCTTTGGCTGTGATGACTAGCCCTTGGCCTTTGGCTGCCTCACTAATCAAACATTCTTTTCTGTTCCCTGTGGGCACTGTAGGGACATCTGGGGTCATCAGCTCTATGTCCAGGGCTGTCTCTGGGCTGAGGTAGCCTGCAATGTTCTGTGAGGAATAGCAGCGCGTGGCCAGGGTCAAGATACGAGATGGGTTCTGAGGGACGCGGATCTGGTCCAGGAACTCAAATGCCTCCTCCACCAATGATGGCTCAATCACATTCAGCAGAGACCGGGTCTGGAAGGAACCAAAAAGTCAATAATGATTTATGGATCATATAATGTTAAACTATCAGTGAAGTTAGGTAATATTTTCTTCATTCTCATATTTCTTTTTTTACTGATTAAAAATATACTGAATTCTGAATGAGAGAGAGAGAGAGAGAGAGAGAGAGAGAGAGAGAGAGAGAGAGAGAGAGAGAGAGAGAGAGAGAGAGAGAGAGAGAGAGAGAGAGAGAGAGAAGAAAAATCAATGACATCAATCACAACCTTGCCCGCCTCCATCTTTTCCACCCCTTATCCTACCTTCTCCTGCAGCAACGGCAAGACCTTGGTGAGGGTGACAGTGTCCTCCTGCCGCAGACATACAAGCATAGAGCGCAGGAGTGTCGTCACGTCCTGCCGCAACTTCTTCACGCCTTCTACTGCCGCCTCGCTTGCCCATGCCTTGTCTCCACCTCCTGGGGTCCTGCGGGAGCTTTTGGCTTTCTGGAGCATACTGCCGATGGAAAGAGAGGAGGAATGAGGAATGAGCAGAAGAAATAATAAATAATAACAGATAATAAAATAAATCAATGATTAACAACAACAATAAATAATAATAACAATATCAGTATTGTGTGTGTGATTTTGTAACATAATAGCAAACACTAATAACACAAAATTTTGTATATCTAGCATGATATATTTTCATCTGCATGAATGAGTGAGTGCCTGAGTGAGCCCAATGAATAAATAAACCAACCAGTCCAAAACTGAGCCTTCCTACTCACTTGACTAAACCTCCATTCTTGTATCCATGAGAGTGGGCACTGAAGACCCCAACGGTAATGACATCATAGAATCCTGAGCGGCGCAGGGACTCGTTCTGCGCCCATAGCCTCTGGAGGTGGAGGTTGACAGGTGCCATTTCAATCGATGACTCATATTTGCTGCTACTCTTCTTAAAGCTTGAACCTACAAGGGTGGGGGTGGGGAATGGATGAGAAGAAGAGTTGATATCATTTCAGTTTGTCTGTAATCACTTTGATACAACTCTATTTTAATGTGACTAGATATTACTCTAACACCGTTTAATGTGATCTTTGTCTGAAAGGGCAGAGATGGGTTGTACAAATATGATTGGAATAGTTTTATTTCAACTTTCAATACCTGGTAGTTCTTAACCCCTTCCATCAAGTGCAAGATGCACCAGCAACCTTCCTGTACTCCTAGAACCCTAAGCCTTTCAAACCCCTCATACCCCTTAGCCCTTTCACAACCCCCCCCTCCCCTCCTCTTACCAGAATGTGCCGCTACATCGAGGGTGTCTAGGGCCATGTTGTAGATGTTGATGAGTGTGACGTGTTGGTTGAGAAGTGCCATCTGCCTGGTGTGCCACTGGTCGGAGAGGTCGCCCAACGATGACAGCTCCTCCTGCCACCGGCGCTCTTCTGATATCCACAGCCGCCTGAAGAAAACAGAGAGTGAGAGAGAAGGATAAGACTCCCCTGGCAACATAACTATATTGCAAACACATGACAACTGATGCCAGTTACAATTCTACTGTAAAGTTATCATTATTATTATCATTATCATAATACAAAATATAAACTATACAAAATAAAAGAAATAAAAAAGCACAAGACTGACAGCAACTGCTGCGGGAATGTGAAGCAGTATCTGCTCTCAGCCATGACTTCCAGCACAGCGATGTCTCCCCCAAGGCCCGAGTGGAAACGGAAGGTGGCCATTGAGGGGTTGTCGTAGAGCAGGCTAAGGTGGCCTTGTGTCGGGTGCCGTGTCTTGGAGCTCAGGCGTGGAGGAAGAGACTGGGTCCGACGGTGGCATGCCACCACAGGTAAGGGGGCCTGGGGAAGACAATAAAGGATGTTAACGTGACACTGCAAAGTGTATATAATACAGAAAGAGGTGGAATGGGATTTTGTTTTCATATAAATAAAATATTAAGAGATATAATTCAAGACCTAGCTCAATTATCTATATCTATATCTATCTATCTATCTGTATAAAGAAAAAAATATATATAAATGAATAAATAGGAAAAAAAAAAAACATGTTAGTAAGCCTTCTCACTGTCACTATCCCACAAGCCAAAGAACAAGATGCCCACAAACACAAGATAACTCACAGGCTGGTGGTGTGGAGTGGCATTACTGGGCGTGTGGGAGTTGGGGTCAACAGACTCCGCTTCAAGGGTCCAGGCAGTGATGGTGATGAAACCCACATTACGCCCTAGAGGTGACTGGAGGCTCAGGCGAGATCGGCCTGTCTCACGGAGTTCTCCAAGACTCACCTGTCAAGAATGGAAGGAGTTTGGAAGATTATTTCATAGAAATGAAAACCTGTGGAAGGAGTTGTTAATTATTAAAAGTTTATATCATTTGCACCAAAAAAGTAAATTTTTTTTTTTATCATTATTATTATTATACTCTCCACTACAGTTTTAGCAATAAATTAAATAGCAGATACAAATAAATCATGAGACCATGAGTCCTAACTATTGCACATGTCTCTGATCTAACAGAGCTTACATTTCACATCATCCAGTCACCCCAGATTTAAAGACTTAGAAAAACTTAGAAAAACTAACATTAACATCCAACTTGCATACTATTCCACACATCTTCATCCCTAAAGAGATTCATGAAATAACTTATTAACAAACAAACAAAAAATTGAGCAATCCTATCAACAAACTGGCTAAACAAACAAAAAAACTGACCAATCCTATCAGTAAAGCAACCAACCTAAAGCCCAGCCAAACAAACCAAACAACCCAACTCAATGCAACCCAGTCAAGGCAACTCACAGTGGCCTGTCCCAGCTGCGTGCTTGTGTTGGTGACTCTCTCCCTGACATCATAGACAGCCAGTCTCACTTGTGTGGTGGTGTCCAGGCCATCTGTTTTGCGGAAGCTCACGGTCGACAGGAAATTTGGATTGCTCGTTCTCTGTACAAAAAATAGTGGTGATAAAGATGGTAGTGGTGATAGCAATGATAGCAATAATAAATGTTATTGTACTACTAGCTTCATACAATATATTTCATTACACTGAATTAAATGCTATTTGCTATACTAACTTCAATAAAGCCAATATCACATATGTATGGACAAATGACTATATCATATAAAAAATACACACACACACACACACACACACACACACACACACATAAGCACGCACACACACACAAAAAAAAATACACACAAAAAATTAATAAATGTTAAAAAAAAACACATACCATACAATCATATCCATCCACAACTTCCCACACCGTAACCCCCAAACCCACCTCAATAACCTCCGTCTGCGCATACTGCAGCCAGCTCTTCTGTGGGGCATTCAGAACCTGCACCGTGACCCTCGGCGACGGGGGCTGCCCATCGCCGTCACACCTTAAGTTGTCACACGAGACTGAGATCTCCAAAAAGGGCGGCTCATTCACATCTGGGAAGGGCGCAGGGAGAGAAGAATGGAACGTAAAAAGAAACGAGAGGGGGGAAAAGAGGTGAGATTCTGGGTATATGTATACATATTGATAAGATAAATATGAGTCAAAAAACTATTGGTCTTATATTTTCTCCTTTTTTTTCCCTCACGCATGCAGCATGCAAAAGGCACTGCCAGGAAAGCATATCTGTTTCCCTAAGAATCTTTTTATCTGTTATTTCTATCTTTTTCCTTCTCTCTTTCTCTCTCTTCCTGCTGTTTATTCTTCCTTTTCCTTCTTTTGCTTTGGTTTTGAGAACTTGACAAGTGAGAGTTTTTTTTCTTTTTTTTACAAGAAAGATCCTAATCTTGTATCAACTGATAGTTCTCTTTGTTTGATTATTCACTTTGGTCTTCCATTCAGGAGATGTATGGTTAATAAAGTGAGTTATAAATAGAAGTTATCAAAAAACAAAAAAAACATGACAAAGGTACTTCCTAGACACGAGGTGCAATTGTCAAAGCAAATTTTCAAAGATCTAATCACCAACAAAAATTATGATAATCAA